GCCCTTGGAGAGCCTCGTGGTCTGATCACCGCCCCCTTTGGCTTTTCAATCCCTTAGGACGCGTGACCAAGACCAAAGACGGCCACGAAGTGAGGTCCTGCAAGGTGGCCGACAAGACGGGCAGCATCACCATCTCCGTGTGGGACGAGATCGGAGGGCTCATCCAGCCGGGGGACATCATTCGGTTGACGCGGGGGTAGGTGTGCGGGAGGGGGCGGGGTGCGGGCTTTCCGGGGTGCAGCCAGTGGACCCCCATCGGCGGACGCCCGGGCAGGTCCCAGAGCTCCCTCTGTGCTGCGGGCCCTTGGATGCTCATCCTGGAGGGCGGGCGGCCCGGCCCTCCATCGGGTCAGGTCCCCCCAGGACTCCGGGCTGCCCGCCCCCTGCCCTCCGACCTCAGGGAGCAGGTTGGATCGATTCTCAGTGCTGCTCTGGGCTCACGGAGTCGAAAACAGACGGAGAAGATTGACAGGGCCCATAGTTTACCTTTCTCACGCATTATTTATTTAATCTAGTTGTCAGTCTTTCTTCCTCCCTTTTTAATGACTTACGAAATCCTGCCAGCATTTTTGTGCCTCGGAAAGTGGACAGTATCTGGAAGGCACGTTCTGGGACACGATTGCTCGTGGCCTGGCTGTGCGATCAGTGCGGTTCCCAACCCGGAATGATGCGCAGGGAATGCTTGGCCGAGAGACCTCTGGGTCTTCGTCCAGGAAAGTCAGAAGATTGGCTTTGAAAAGTCCTGTAGCGCAATCATTTTGTGTGTTTGAGAGTTAGACTGCCGTTAACATTTTGCCAAATCTTTACAGGAAGATAAAAGGCCAGAAAAGGGTCTTAAAAAAAAAAAGACTTTGGAAGCCCGGTCAATAGAGTTGTAACGTGTTGGCCATAACTATAGGAAAAGTGGGTGGGAATTGGTGCTGGAAGGACCTCAGAGAGAGTTGGATGGTAACTGAAGGGGAACCTTGGGTATTCTCTCCCAGGCCTCAGCCGCAGGAAGTGAGGCAGTCTCACCAGAGGAGGAAGTGGGAGTCAGGATTTAGACATTTGATTCTCACCCTGACTCATGGTGACATTGTCTGTTAAACATCCACATCCTTAACCTACACGGGAGCATTCCTGCCTGGGAGGGCGTGGTCAGGGTTCCCATAATTAAAGTTGTTTTGGCTGCCAGCGCATCTTATCTAGTGATTTACAGTATTTTGTACACTGTAAACAGCACCTCCTTCCGAGTATTTCATACTTTTCAAAACTAAAGACACGGTTACTACTGTTTCCTAACTTCAGTGTGGCCTTGAAGTTAGTGTACGTCCTCAATGTGCTCTATATAATGGGGATCATTGTACCTTCCTTCCTAACACAATGCAGCCAGCAGAGTCGGCCCGTGGTGAGGCCCTTACATTCTGGTTGAATCTAAGAAAAGTGGCCTTTGAAGAAAGGTATCCATTTAAATAGAGGTAATTTGAATATTGATATGTTAATCAGGAAACCCTGCAAATGTCCCTCTCATTCCTGAAACAAGTGAAATGTGTTCATTGCAGTAACTTCAGATTTTTCTCAAAATATGCATTCATTTTTTACTTAGTAAGGAGAAATAGGGCACTGCCTTCTAAGTCACTTCTTATCTAACATCACATGGGTGAATGGTACCCTTAATAAGTGACCCGTTCCTATAAATGAAGATAAATGTATGTGGAACTAGCAAGTTTTTATCACCTATGTTAAAAGACGAACTATCACTATACGTAAACAATATTTAATCACAACTTCTCATTCGAAGTCATGAAGTTACTGGAGTAGTTGTACAAAGAACCTCTGGAAACCAGACCTTAGGCTGGTTTTTATAATATTGATTAACTTACAGTTTTTTCTCAGATATATGTGTAGGGTTATTTTATCTAATGATTTTGCCTGCATTCAAAATTGTTAAGAGTAATTGCTTACCCAAGTTGGTACTAAAAATTGCAAATTTGAAAAGGTAGATGTGTGAAAGATTTGTGATCTTAGTTTTTTTTAGCCCCTGGATTAAATTTTACCAACTTTTTTTGTAGCTTGGGAACCCTATGTGGTTTGTGGAGGTAAAGGAAAAGCAATTAGATCAGTTTCTGAGCAGACCAAGTAAATGAGTATGAGAGAAAACAGTAGGGTGTCGATTTCCTATTTGTCCTGTGATTAAAAATAATTTCTGCTTGGATCTCTGCAATTATAAGTTCTTTTGTTAACTGACCCAAGATGTGATCTTTGGAGTGTAACCGTGCTTGCTTTGCAAAAAGACCTATTTCCCAGAGTTACAGTTTAGATGATTATGTGAGAATCTGGCAGTAGAATTTTCTTTGTATTTTTCCTTAGTCAGTAACAAGTTAAAGTTAGGCTCATGGGTTGTATTGGATTTGCTACGGTAGACATATCCACACCCAATACAAAAAGTGTAGTATAAAGACTTCCTCGATGGCTTATTTCTACAGAACTGATGTTGCTTTTCTCTCCAGGTATGCATCCATGTGGAAAGGGTGCCTGACGCTTTATACCGGAAGGGGCGGGGAACTCCAGAAAATCGGGGAGTAAGTACCTTTTGTGTAATTGAAAAAAATTACAGATTTCTACTGACATGACTGGTAGGTATAAACAGCAGCCTTTTCCTTGGCTTGTTTCCGACTGGCCTCCTGCACGTCTCCAGCAGCCTGCCTGCGGGAATAACTTGCCGTGGATGGAGCAGTGGGACAGCTGTCCATGTACGGTTTGGGGGATGAGCTTTCTTCAGTGTCATTAATGCCATTTGAAGTAGCTTCTGTCGTCTAGTGAATTGCCAGATAAGAAACTAGGTGTAAGTTGTGGCCCTGAGTGGAAATGTCCTTTTTCTCTGTGTGTGGGTGAATGTGTCCTCCTGGTACAAGGACCGGTAGCAACGCCCACTGAAGTGCTGTGTTTATCCACAGGCTAGGCACCTACCGCACAGGCACTGCGGGCTCCCAGGCACTACTTGCTGCTTGGTAATCTCCACCCTGACTTGGAGGAGCCATCCTCTCTAGGGGTGTAAAGGTAATGCAGCCCCCATGCTCGTCAGACATGTGGGGGGTACTCATAAGCTTGGGTGCAGGCCCTCCATCCAATCCTGAGTCCATTCTGCTAGGTTAATGCGTGGACATCTGCTTCATGCCCATTAAATTAGAGGATATTTGAAGAGAAGCAACAGTGGCACCCAGCAAACAGATATAAATAAAGAAAGGAAAATTCTCTTCCTTCCTGCAGGGTTAAGATGCTTTGCATGGAAAAATAATCTTGCCAGCTTTTTTCTTTTGTAATAAATATATTTTTACTGATTTCAGAGACAAAGGGAGAGGGGGAGAGAGAGAGAAACATCAAAGATGAGAGAGAATCATTGACTGGCTGCCTCCTGCACGCCGTCTGTTGGGGATCGAGCCCCCAACCCAGGCCTGTGTCGACTCCTGGTTCAGGGGTTGACGCTCAACCACTGTGCCATACCAGCCAGGCTCTTGACAGCTTTTAAAGATCAGAAACTGGCAACACTCTTTGGAGGAAAATTAGGATTCATTTACGGTTTGTGTTTGCATTTAGAGTATTATTGGAGCAACGAAAGGGTTTCACATCAACATGACTGCAAGATTAGGGTCCTGTCCTGACCTTTATGTGTAGAGAAGTGTCTATCATAATGGAGGTCAGTTGAGGGAAGAACCACTGGAGGACACTCGGTTCTTAGTGACTTAACTTTGTTAGGGTCAGCCTAGCATTTACAAAAACCAGTTCTCAGTTTTTATTTGTGGGGTGAGGGGCTTGTGTATAATGTTAATATAGCCCACAGTCACCTTATAGGAGGCACTGGGATGAACTGTCATTGTGGGAGCCAGTTGTCTGTACTGATGCCTCAGAACCCACTCCTAACCTTGAATGGTTATCTTTGCAGATTCACAGAGCGTGGTCCACAGGGGCCTGGATGACAGTGTGTGGATGGGTCAGGGCTAACCCATCACCAGTGCTGGAGGACCCACTCTGGAACCCCGAGTCCCCTGGTTCCGAGGCCTCGGCCTGTGGAAGGACAGGACAGATGTGTTTCTGTGTCCTTGCTCTTTGACATGGTTGGTTTTTGTCGTCCAGAAGACGACTTAAAATGCAGAGTAGAATGTTCCACACAGTGTAGGCAATCACATAGTTGATGCTTTGATGGAACATAAGCATTTAGGACGTTTCCGTTAGAATAGAGTTAGTTAGCATGTTGCTATTTAGTTAGTTTGTTTGACACCTAAATTCTTCATTCCTGTCACTTACGCATATTAGATGAAGAAAGGTTGATTATTTCAGAAGTCATGTAACTTTTCCTGTATTTTCTTCCAGGTTTTGTATGGTTTACTCAGAAGTGCCAAATTTCAGTGAACCCAATCCAGATTATCGAGGACAACCGAACAAAGGGGTAATTAAAGTCTGCTTTTATGACAAGGCTCATTCTGACTGTCTGCCATCATTCCATGGCGAGATTGTCATACCCAGGGTCTAATGAAGACAATCTAAGAAGTCATTTAAAGTCCTTTTTAACGTCATTTTTGTTCTGTTTGCTTTGTGAGAGTGAATGTTGCTGTAGTGTCCTGTATTTAAGTGTCTGCCATTTAGCACTTTGGGGCGTGGGGAGGAATATCTGGAAGTACAATAAAATGAAAGGTTTGGGAAACACTCATGAATATTTTGACATTGAATGGACTTGGATAAATATATTAAAAATTTGTTTAAGAAAACCTTAAAAACTAAAAAAGGGAATGGACACAACATGTTATAATAATGTACAGGTGTGTTTTTGATTTTTAGTCTTCATTTGGTTAAATTGAAATTTTCTTTCAGGCACATAGCGAGCAGAAGAATAATTCCATGAATGGTAATATGGGTACAGGTACATTTGGATCAGTGGGTAAGATTTTTTTTTTTCATAATTGTCATCAGGTGTGAGAATTCTAGAATATATATTTTATGAAAGCTAGAGAGGAAAAATTTGTCATTAGGCATAAATTAGTTCTAAAAGGGAACTACTGGTAACCAGGGAATTCCCGAATAGCTGATTTTCTAGAAAGCAGACACCCTTTAAACTACTTTATTGAGCTCATTCTGTATTGAAACATCTGGGCCAGTTCCTAGGAATAGTGGTGAACGTTGGCTAATAATATAGAAGTCCACGTTTCAGAGACGTGTCATTTCGGTAGCCTGGTGACTGACAGGGGCAGAATTACTGGTTATTTTTAGGCACCGAAAGCCTTTTATCTTCCGACTAATAACTCACCTTCCTTTTTCACGTGCCGATCGCTGCCCCTTTAAAAGATTAGCCTTTATCCTTCAAATACCCTTAAACCATGTGGAAGGTTTTTTGGAAGTTTGGTCCTTAAATAACGGAGGAGAAGTCTTTTGTGACCAGAGTTCATTTCGGGTGGCTGTTACTCATTTGAGCTGCTAGCTGATCCCCGCACTGTGGGAAACTTCTGTAAAAAGTTAGAATCTCGTTCTCTTGAGTTGTTACTCGCCATATTTGAGCCCAGTGCCAGGACTCACAGGCCACCTGCCCCCTCTCGGTCTTCCCTTGTGGTGTAGGCAGTGCGTTACCTATACTTGTCCTACTCAACCCGTTTCTCATTCTGTTGCCCAAGTTGCTCTTTTTTTCCTCTCCCTGTTAATACAGCATCAAGTCAGTGTGTTTCCAATAGTCACATGTTTGAACAAACCTAGAACTTAATGGGATTTTCCCCAGGAGTTGAAAGGCATTTGTTTTCCCCAATATGACTCGTAAGCATTAATACGACCATGTGTGCGACTGCAAATAGGTGCACCTCTCTAGATCAGTATCTGAAAATGTGATGGATTTTTATATTCTTTTTTTAGGAAACGGGATTCAGCCCGGCCCAGAACCACGGGCATGCCAGTTTTCCTTTGCTGGTAGAAGCAGTGGCCGGGGGCCTGGGACTCCGCAGCCAGCTGGAGCAGCTGGCAGCCAGACAGGCATGGCCACTATAAGTAATGGCAGGGACCCTCGGAGAGCCTTGAAAAGATGACCGATGCCAAACACCCACATGTAGTTTGTGAACTACGTGCCCTACTTGAACACTCACTGCACTTTTATTTATGGTTAACTGTGAAAACGTCTTTGTCGGTTTCCTTTTATGTTGTTGGTTTGTTCACAAGAGTTGTTTGCTTTTATAGCAAGACGGTTAAGCTGCTCGAGTCTCCTGTGGAAGAACGGGAACACATTGAAAAGTAGGGGTGTTGATTTCTAGAGCCAAAATGTCTTTGGGTAGCCTCCACAGCCTGCCCCCGTCCACGGGGGAGCTACTTAAGACATCAGCATTACAGCCTCTGTGAGTCTATCTTCTGCGGACAGTTTGTAATATTTAAAATAAGGCTTAGTGGGAGCTGTTCTCTGTCTTACAGTCAGATATTGCCAACTAAAGCGATAACCACCAAAAAAAAAAAAAAGCCACCAAAAACTTAATCAATGCTAACAGTGATTTGTGAGTGTCTGTGACTTCTGGAATGACTGGCTTCTTCACCGAGTGACTGCTGTTAGTGTTTTCCAAGGACTGAATCATCCTGAACTCCTGTTTTATTACCAAAAAACCATATTCCTGGTCAGAATTATAGACCAGAGGCCGATCTGTAGTATAACAAGTGATTTTTAGAAGAAAGCTGCGTTCACTTTACTTCAGTTACTCTTTATCATCGTTGTGCATTACACTGAAGGAAAATTTAGAGCTGAGGCCTTGATTATTTATTTTTTTGAAACGATCACGTCAAATGTTAAAGTATAATTTGAAGGCGGTATAAGCCTAATAAACATGGATCTGATGATAAAAATTATGGGAGGTAAACATAGGGAAGGCAATTCAAGTTGAACCCATGGAGAAAACAGCAATCTATGTTAGAGGGCCCTAGGTTCTGCAGAAACTCAGCCAGCCTAGGTGCTGTCTTTATTTGAAGGGTGTGGTGTGTGTAGTGTGTGTTGTGTATCGTCAAAGTTCCTGAACACAGATTACAAAGCCTTATCAGCAAAAGCTAAGACATGGCTCTCTCAGAAGAGAAGACAGCTTTATTCAGAAATGTTAAGAGTTTGCTTCTGTGTTGTAATCGCTCCCCAGGTCCCCTCTCTCTTGCAGGGTGGATAACTGGTCAACCTTCCTTTGTGAGAATCCTACCCTTGATTATGTCTTGAATAAAAGTGTGCATTCATGGTAACAGACCTACTTCCTCTGCTCTTCCAGTGACCTGCAGCGAGAGAGCCTGTGCGTGTGCCAGCCGTGGTAATGGGGCCTTCACCCTGGGGCTGCCTGGCTCTGCTTGGCTGCTGTGTCTCTGTCCCTACCTCACATCACAAGGAATTTAAGGCGACTTTGTTTTAAAAAAATTCCATAGTGTGTGTGACTATAAAATCTATGCCAGATTATGTATTTGCTCTAATTGAGTGTATGTAACAAATATTTCAGAAACATTGAAGCATGTATTAGGCAACTGTGAGGAGAGTTTGGGGTAGACGAAATCATGAACCGTCTCGAGGCGTTTACCTGTATGTTGTGTAGCACGTGGGTGACGGGTTTATGTATGTACAGGGTGGGGCAAAAGCAGGGGTACAGTTGTGAGTAGGCGAAACCGTTTATTCTTGTGTTGTTATGTTATTTTCCATATGAACAGCTGTAAACCTACCTTTGCCCCACCCTGTACTATAGAAGTTTTTCCTTTATGTGTGATGATTCTAGTTAATTTGGCTTTTATAACTAATATTTTCTTAAGATGTTCACAAAATTACAGAGATTATGTACAAATTAGTGTACAAGTTTTTTTTTCTTTTAAATCAAGTAGTGGGAGGAGCAATAACACTTGTTTGTGGGGGAATATCGTGTTACAGGTGATTTTGAAAAGTAAGAAAGACCTCAGCTGGTGCTTTGGTAATCGACACTTGTCGTAATAATCTAACCTTGTTCTGTGTTTTGTATCATCTATTAACAAGTTTCTTTTCTCTCAAGGGAAGCCTCTAAAACGCGGGCACAGTGAGTGTCAGTCCGTAAGGATCGCTCGCCTTGCCGTCTGCTGGGACGCGCTCAGCACGAAGAGGAAGAAGGTTCCCCGCCTTCCCCCTTCCTGGCGCTCGGCGTTCGACTCACTTTCAAACAAGTTTAAACACCTGAGAACAAACACCACTTAGTACAGAAACACACGCTCCCGGGATGGTCCCATTTCATTTCCACAAAGACCGCTGGCCGCTGGGCTGGCCAGGTCTCAGGAGTTGGTGGGGCGCAGGAGGAGAAAGATGGAACCCCCCGGCCAGGGGACCTGCACTGGGGCGCGTGCATATCACCAAGTGCCCCTCGGAGTACCCACTCAGCTCTGCCCCTGTAGCTTCAGGAATTCCATCTTGAATGTGAGGACAGTTCAACTGGAGGGCACCCTGAATATTTGTAGTAGTTGTCGCTTGTATTTTTATCATGTGACATTTTTAAAAAATACTTTTTTATTGACTTCAGAGAGGAAAGGAGAAAAAGAGAGAAACATTAAAGATGAGAGAGATTCATTGATTGGCTGCCTCCTGCACGTCCCCTACTGGGGATGGAGCCCACAACCCAGGCATGTGCATTTGACGAATTGAACCTGGGACCCTTCAGTCTGCAGGCTGATGCTTTATCCACTGAGCCAAACCGGCTAGGGCTGTCGTGTAACATTTTAAAAGAATGCTTCATTTGCTTGGTTGAGTAATAATGCCAAGGGAATGATGGCTGGAAACAGATGTTAGTATAAAAAAAAAGTTATAATTTTTGATAGAGTGTTTAAAGTATAGGAAGGTAGTTAACTGGCCCTAAATCGTGTCCAGAGAAGGTACGAGTTGAGTGTCTTATACATCAATCGAAGACAGTGGCAGTTGTTGACATTGATAGAGATCTGACATTGCAATTACTGAAGCACCCTTTTCTGGCATCAGTAAGGTAATGCCTGCTCCACGCAGTTAGGTGGCCATGATTCCTTAGGTTCTTGAAAGTATTCGGAAGGTTCCAGAGACATCAACCCTGAACACCATGTGGAGACCGGGTCAACATGGAATGCTTACCTGCGCTTTTAATCTCTCCTCACCTCTGGGCTCATTCCTGGGATTACTTGCCCTACGATAGACTATTTTTTAAACCTATTTTTTCCTGCTCTCTATTGGATCCCCTATCAGATGAGAGTCTGCATATTTCTAGTAGAAAAGGGGGTCACAGTTCCCCCTACGTGGGCCCGATGGCAGGTAAAGGCAGGTGAGCTTGGCCATGATACATCTCTGTAGTCTCCTACATGTTGGGGTGAACAGCCCCACATTTCACAGGGTGGTTTATAACCTTACGGTTTGCTTCTGAGAAAATCTGACATAATAGCACTATCATGTTAGGCCCTGAGGGGGAAGCTGGGAAAATAACTGCAAGTACAGTGGGGCCTTGACTTACGAGTTTAATTTGTTCCGAGACCGAGCTTGTTAAGAAACTCAACTCAAATTACTCTGTCAACTCAATGCAAAAAATCGGCTGAGGCAGCTGCTATCTCAAAAAACTCATTAGTCGGGACACTCGTAAGTCAAGGCCGCACTGTATAACCAACTTTTCTCCAAATTCCTTGACCTTTGCTTTACTAGGGATACACCAGAGTTTATATTCAAATGCTGGACCCAAATTATTTCAGGTTCCTGAGCTAAAAGGACAGGATGATGGGTTTTCAAAGCCCAGATTACAGAATAAGGACCAGAACAGAAAAATCCAGGCCGGACCATCTGTCCAGCCATTTATTTCACATGGTTTCTCACGAAGAACACAGCTGTGCACAGTCTGGCATAACCGGTGTGACGGAAAGGAAATGCACATTTTACCAAGTTTGACTATCAGACGTTTCGTTTCGTTTCCGTCTTGAAAGGCCTTAGAGACCCACCGTTTTATGTGGCTGCCCAGGTGCTGGGCCTGGTGGCAGCTGCTGGACGAGGATAGAGCCCAGGTGTCGGGAGCCTCCTCGGACACTGCAGTCCTCACCGTCACGCTTGTCCAGCGCCACCTCTGCTGAGGGGCTGTTGACAGGTCTTTATTTTTTAAAATATATTTTTATTAATTTAGACAAATACTAAAAATAAATTTTTATTGAGGGAGGGAGAGACATCGATGAGAGAATCATTGATCGGCTGCCTCGTGTACTGGGGATTGAGCCTGCAACACAGGCATGTGCCCTGACTACAGGCCGATGCTCTATACACTGAGCCAAACAAGCTAGGGCGTGTTGCCATGTCTTTAAAAAACCAGTTCTTGACCCACTTCCAACCATACATTCAAGTTGTTTGACTCCATCAAAATGTATGTTTCCGGACAGAGGAGTTAGTCCAGCCCCCTTGGCCCACACACTGACTCTGTTGAATGCCAAGAACAGCTACCACCTGCAGGAGATTCCCCCCGGGGCTCCCGAGAGGTTTGGAATGTTCTCAGCTGTTCCGGGGGAGTTCAGGGCAGGTCCGGGAGAGCCGTCCTCGGAAGCCTGGAGAGCCCTGTCTCCTGCTCTGGGTGCCTCCCTTAGCGCAGGAATAACCTCATTTGGAGGCATATGTGGAGCTCAGCTTTTGCCTCTGGGCGGCTAGAGCACCCAGGAGTTCTAGATGGTGAAGTGTGAGCCGCTGTACTTGGAAGCGGACGCCTCCCACGGGCAGAGCTGAGGGACAGCCAGGGGGTCCCAGCGGGACAGTGAGTGCCCCCCAGGGCGGGGGTGGGGGGGCAGTTCTGAGTGAACTCGGCTCAGAGCATGCTCAACACACATCAGTGTTGAGATCAGATTCCAGTGGAGTCGCCTGGCTTCGTCTGGGCCTACACAGATCAAAGTGAAAAGTTTCCCTGAGGTTTCCGGTAACACTTTTTAAAAAAATGGGTTTTCTTGTTGCTTAGCTCGGCAAATATGTTTGCAGCACTGCTCAGAGCATGCTCAATACCTATCAGTGTTGAGATCAGATTCCAGTGGAGTCACCTGGCTTCGTCTGGGCCTACACAGATCAAAGTGAAAAGTTTCCCTGAGGTTTCCGGTAACACTTTTTAAAAAAATGGGTTTTCTTGTTGCTTAGCTCGGCAAATATGTTTGCAGCACTGCCTACCTTCCTTCAACAGCCCCCTCCCCCATTGCCTCGGTCCCTGCTTCATTACGGGAGATGCTGGCCAAGTGGCAGAGTAGTTGGGCGCTCGCTCCTGGAGCTGTGTGTGCCTTTCCGTCCCCCCCCCACCCCGCCCTCCCCCCAGGGCGTGATACCTTTACCCTCCTCTCCAAAGCCCCAAGGGCCCTTCCTTTTGCCTCTGTAACTTGTTTCTATAGCTCACTTCCACTTCTGTGTGTGTGTGTGGGGGGGGGGGGGGGGGGGGGGTTGGAGGTAAAACATTCCTGAGAACCTGCCTCTTACAGACCCTAATCATGTTCTGCAGGAGGGGCAGCTGCGGTAAGTGTTCTCCACAAACAAGTACTCCGCAGTTATGATTTGCCTGCCTCTTGGGGCGAGGTGGTTTGAATCTAACTAGTAGGTCCGGAGACCTCTGGCCTAAGTCGCTGGGCGACTTCAGATAGAAAACCATGACACTGGCAGCCAGCACGGCTAGTGCCCCTCCGGGGGGACGGCTCTGAGTCCTGGGCCTTCTCTTCACTGCTCAGGAGCCTCGTTAGGAAAGAACGGGGGCGGGGGGGTGGTGCATGGGCGCAGCTCCGAGGCCATGGGCGCCAATGGGCACTAGACACCTGCTGCCCCCCAGGGCTGAGTCAGGGTCCAGCGTCCTCCCAGGGGCAGTGGGAAGAAGAGGCAGGCACTGGCCATCTCTCCGCGCCAGCATCAGAAGGCAGTCTTAACATTTATAAGCAGCTCATTGCCACCAGGTGTGTGTGTGTGGAAGTCGCCAACCTTTCAGTCTCTACTGGGCCCAGAAAGGTTGCTGACGATTTGCCGCATGGAGGGGTGAGTCGTGGGCACAGGTCTGATCCATAGCCGAGTTCCCTGAGCTCTTTCCCATCCCCCTTTGCCCTGAGGGGAGGGCGAGGGCACCATATGGGGCTGCCAGGAAGAGGGAGGACATGGGGTGGGGGGGTTGGTGCCAGGAAGGAGGGCAGTGGCCACCAGGAAGGCACGGGATTCCCACGGCAGCTCGGGATCGCCGCAGGCCCAGGGTGCAGTCGTGGTGTGTTTCTGAGAGAACTGGGGAACTTTCCCAAGCT